TAAACCATTGCCTGAAAGGCCCTGGAGTGTTCCAGGTGGCCTTCGGTGCGGGGGACTTTGACTTCTCCAACTTGTGTAGGTTGGTTCAGCCTAGAAGACATGGGGATATTGCATGGGCTAGAAATAGTTGCACTTTGAGTGTTGTTTCTGTCCTCCATTCACTTGCTGTAGCCAGCATCCTGCTGGCTGCCCTTTGCAGGTTTGCAGAACTGTGATTCTGGCCTGAAGCTTGACAGACTCCCCAGGATCCTTCCGAGATGGGAAATGAGATCCACCTGCTCATGTTCTCAAAGGCCACTTTCCTCCGTGCGGTTTAATAGAGTTGATTTTGTATCCCTCCAGGGACGCAGACTTCCAAGTTTTACAGGCTTACTAAACTGCAGAATACGCCTCCTGCTTTAAATGAAATTGTCTCTCCTCAAAGGCAGAGGTTCTCCTCAAGGGAGGTTTTCCTCCCTCTCAGGGCACATTTAAATGTCCAGAGATCTTTTGGTGGCTTCCCTGGTGGCTCAGCAGTAAAGAACCCGCCTGCAATTCAGGAGAAGTGGGTTTGATTCCTGGGTTGGGAAGATTCCCTGGAGAAGGAAATGGCAACTCACTCCAGTATTCTTGCCTGGGAAATCCCATGGATGGAGGAGCCTGGTGGGCTACAGTCCACAGGGTCACAGAAGTTGGAAACAACTTAGCAAGTAAACTGCCACCACCGCCGCCAGAAACCTTTTGGTCGTCATGACAGGCAGAGAGGGGTAAGTGCTGTTAGATGGTAGTGGGTTGAGGCCGGGGATGCTGCCAGGCGTGGCAGAGCCTGGGATGGGCCCCACACCAAGTGACCAGCCCCAAACGCCCACAGTGCTGGGTGCCTCCACCTCAGCTACAAAGGCCCTTTTCTCCTCAACTGGCATTCCAGAGGCTGCACCCACCACACAGCCCATCTGTTTGGAGGAATGGATCCAAGCCATTCTCTGTGGCCAAGCATCCCTGTGGACAACCTAGGGTGCCAGCCCCTCTCACAACTAAAAATCACGAGGCTGAAGACCACTTGTGAAAGCTCCTTGCATGCTGTCCCTTGGACAAGCGTTAGAGAATGGAGGCAGTTCTGCCCTACAGTGGGGCTCAGTGGCTGACAACTCCGCTTGAACCATTTCAGGGGCAGCCAGAAGCACAGGGAATGGAAGGGGAAATGCTTAACAGGTTTCCTGATGAATTAGTACTTCATTATTTTAGTGAATCACCATTAATTACCTTTGTATCTCAGAAATTTAAAAAGTAACTTTTGATTTTGGGGAAATATAAACATTACATTTTAGTTACAAAGGCCAGACTTCAGAACTCAACATGTTAAAATATATTTTATTTCGTGCTTCTTCCCTGTCTTTGGGTCTTGTGGGGCTGTACCTAGAAGGCAGCAAAGATGACAGCATCACCCTTTCCCGACAGTCGTGGGGATGAAAGGGTAGCAGGAAGCGGGTAAGAACTGCCCTAGTCGTCTGCGGCCATTTGTCCCTGAGCTAGAACCTTGTGGGAAGCAGGTAAACAGCAGAGTGTGGCTGGTATATAAAAATGCGATGGTTTCCTAGGCTGGTGCTAAAATCCTTTCTCCTTTCAGTGAAGGGGTGTTCCTGCCCACTTAACGGGTTCATTTTCAACATCCCACCCCCCCCACACCCCCCACCCCCCGATAACAGTGGGACCTGCATGTCAGCAAGGGAGGGATGCTGCTGGGGAGAGGGCTGGAGAGGATCGCTCTCCCTGCTGTGTCCAGGGAGGCACTGATTTATGTCTGCTCTGTTCACTGTGGCTTAGATGAAGCCTTTTTACTTATACAGATAACATGTGATACCTTCTGGTTATGAAACACTTAATGAACATACATTATAGTGAACCCCAGAGCTTACCCTTTTCCTCCCTCCTTTTAGTAGTTATTTACATTTTGTCTTTTAAAAAATACAAGCAATTTCTATTCTAAAATGTTCCAAGAGAAAAGAGGTCTTAAAAGAAATAGATGTGACACTTTCTTACCAGCCCCAACTCCCCTGTCACCTCCCGAGTCAGAGAAAGCAGCCCTTAGCTGTTCCATGTTCTTTCAGCACCATTTATAGGACCTTTCCCTTAGCACATGCCTGCTGAGTTCTTATTCCATTCAACTTACGTGCTGGGGATGTGGTGCTTTACACACAAAATGGGATCATATTATATATAAGGTTCTAATACTTGCATTTAAAAAATCATTACAAGCCTCTGACATCTCTCCATGTCAGTGCCTATAAATAACCTTGCATGATGTTCCATAGTATGGGCCCCTTTTGCTTAATGATCCCTTCATATTGGATATATTAGGATCCAAGGTTGTCTGTGACAGTCCCTCTGGGGCCATCTGGGCCTGCTGTGGCATTGTCTCATGACACCGGGCCCAAGTCCTTCCATCACACCATTCTGCAGTCCCCCTGGACAGTCAAAGGTGGATGGCCTGGCATGTTTGCGTTTCTTTCCGGGAAGGGAAAGAGGAAGGGGTGAGCATTAGGGCAGCACTTATAATTTGGAGACATTTCTGATCATGTCCCATAGGTCAGAATTGGGCTGCAAGATCAGACTTAGCTGCAGAGGAAACTGGGAACAGTACTCAGCTAAACTTTCGTTGATGATGAAGAGGGCAAAAAATAGGTTGTCTTTTCCACAGTAGCATGTAGACAGCTTACAGGATTTTACCAATGAAAGTATCAGAGATCCCTGTACATACAAATGCAAGTATTTCTATAAGATGGACACCTAGAAGTGAAAGGCATGTACATTAAAAACTTTTAAGAACCACCCAAATTACCTTCCCAAAAAATCTTCCTAAATTTATACTACAGCAATGACGAGCTGGGGGCCCTGTTGAACATCCTTGTTAACATGGGGCTTTATTTATCTCTTATATTTTTTTCCAGTTTGCTGGATGAAGATAGGTAGATAGATGGATGATTCTCATTGTAATTCACATTTCCATGATTAATCGAGAGAGTGAAACATTCGTAATTGTTGATCATCATGTTTCTTCTGTGAATTGCCTGTGTGCAGCTTATGCCTGTTGTCTATTGTTTTGTCTTTGTTGATTTGCAGCACAAGCTTGTATATACACACATCCTAAATACAGACCCTATGTCACATATGTTGTACCTACTTCATTCTTAAATTGCTTGTCATTGATATGCACTTTTACCAGAATTATTTAATTTTTATGCTGTTACATTTTTCTTTCTTTCGTATGTTTATGAGTGTCTTACACCAAAACAAAATTTTAGGTCTGTTATTCTGCTTTTTATTTATTTTTTAAATCTGTCCTGATTATTTTCTGTGTGAAATCTCAGATGGCAATATTGAATGATCAGTTAGATTTTACAGAATCACTTGTTTAATTGTTCATTCTTTCTTCACTGAGGTAAAATGCCACCACCGTTAGTTGTATTTGTGGGTCTATTTCTGGGCTTTCCCTCCTGTTTTATTTGTTTGTCTCTCCTTCCCTGATAGCATCCTGTAATTACAGTAGAGATTTATAATGTATTTAATATCTGCCAGCATGAGTCCCCACTGGTTATTCTTTCTTCACAGTTTTTGAGGGGGTATTCTTATATGTGTCTCTTTAGCACTAACTTTAGAATCACTTGTCAAATTCCGTTAAAGGAAACCCCTGCTGGTATTTTGATTGGATGCTGCATTTACAGGTTCATTAGGAAGAACTGCTTTCTTTAGAACCCTTCCGTGAGAGTTTGTTTAGAGAGAACATGTCCAAGTGTTCTCTAACCTTCTGCAGTGACAGTGAGCAAGACCCCAGGTGACTGCATCTTGCAGGGTAAAATGGCACGGTGTAAGCAGAGGGTGGTCCCTTTGTGCTGAAGATGCCTGCACCCCCACCACACCTGTGCTGCCGGCACATCCTCCCCTGTCTGGGATGGGACTTGCAGCTGGTGACGAGTGTGCTTAACAAGAAAGCTTGTGCCATCACCTTGATGGCAGTCTTCTCCAGGCCTGGTTTGGTCTTCCAGTCTTCTGCCCGTTTTCTGGGTTGCATTAGAAATGATCCTCTTGGCAATACCAGAGGCATTGTTTGTGGCTCAGCCTTGAGGGAACACTGTCACCTTTCCTGTAAGTGCATAGAATTGATTTCTGCCAGAGTTACACCACTTAAACCATTAGTGCCTGAGGAACGGTAAATAAGTGGGGTGTTCTATGCAGAAGAATTGCTTAAAAATGTTACCTTTGAGTGTGGTTTTTAATAATTTCTCTTCTGAGATGAGGACCATTCCTATGTTTACCAGTAATTGCTAGAGTGGTTTCAAGTACTGAACAGTACAGCATGTCCAGAAAAATATTTCATTTAGCAGATTCATGTTAATATCTTACTGTTCTGTGATTTGAAAAAAGTTTATGGGGCCAAATCCACTTGTACACCTTCAGTGTGATTTAAATCATCTGGAAGATAAAGTGCTTATGGGTAGGACTGAAATGAAGAGGACCGCAGGGAAACCCTGCACATTTGAGGACCTAGGCAGCTCTTCCGAGCTGACTTTGTGAGTGAGGAGTGGGTTCTGTTACAGAAGCCTGGAGAAGCTTTGGAATAGATGGTGAACAGGACCAGAGTAGCACACAGAGCTTTGGGCTTTATGGAGAAGGCTGTGGTTTGCCTGCAGGTGGGTGGCAGAGGAAGGGTGGGTGTGAAGGCGCCGTGATGGGGCACGTGGGAGGAGATCCCTCAGTGGAGTCAGTGTGCTCCTGGGGGAGGAGAGGAGAGAGCCGAACAGAGGAGGAGAGGAGCTCCAGCCGGGGTTGAACTGTGACCACTGCCCGCCTCTGTCTGATTGAAACGGGCAGATGGTGGGGATCTTATACTACTGCTGTTCTACTGCAGTGTGCAATATATGCAGCAGGTTCCATGCATGGGACCCTCTTGGAGGTGCAGGTCCTGGGGAGCAGGCAGAGTTCTCCAGGTATGAGTCACAAACATGTGCTATTTTCTTTTCCAGAACTACACTCAGTACATCCCTCTGTCGATATACGACCTGCAGACGTGGATGGGTAGCCCCTCCATATTCGTCTACGACTGCTCCAATGCTGGCCTCATTGTCAAGTCCTTCAAGCAGTTCGCCCTGCAGAGGGAGCAGGAGCTGGAGGTGAGGCATTTTTATTGGCACCCAGGGTGGGAGTTGGGGGTGAGGGTCAGCCCCTCAATGGTTTTGTCTTCTCAGTTGCGGTGGGCTGTCTGTGGTGCTCAGAGTGCTGAGTAAGATGGTCGGGTCCATGACAAAGAACTTGGGAGGGACTCCAGACAAGCTCTTGGTCTTATTTTGCATTTCGCTTTACCCAGCATCATTTTTAATACAAATTTTAATTAAGTGATAACATTAATAGAGTTGATTTGTGCTCCAGTGGGCTCTGCCTCCGAGATAAATGTGAAAATAAAGCAGACACATTTATTTTCAGAGAAATGGGCCTGTGTCTGGGCACAGTCTTCAGTTTCACTCTCATGTTGGTTATTGCTCTTTTTTTTCTGTCTTTGATGTTGGGGGAAAAAAAAGCCCTACTGTGTTAAATACAGAAAACAAACCAAAATAGTTGCCATTGGTGGCTTCTGTTGAAAGAACTGGAGAGCCAGTGTAGTGCTCTGATCATGAAGAGCTGTTTTACTTGGTTGTTTTAATTAATATTTGATGTTTGAATTAAACAGTGAGTTCTAAAGAGAAATTGAAGAGGCAGTTTCAATTAAGAGGCCTCCATCCCGTGGCCTGCACAAGAGTGAGAATAAAATATCCTGCAGCCTCCAGGGGGTCATGAATTCCAACTGGTTGCTGTGCAGGAAATTCTCGATTCAGAACAGAAATGGTCCTGAGAACATGTTTCCTCAAGCCCTTTTGGGCCTCTCCAATTTTAATGTATTGTTATGTTTTTTGCGTTTCATCTGAGGATATTGCTGAAAGTATCAGAAATAAAATTTGAAGTTCTACTCTGTAGAATTTAACATGTCATACAGTTAATTTATAAATATTTTATAAATTACCCTTATGCAGAACTTTGCGCCAGAGTGACTGTTAAATTGCCGTTTATTCTTGAAAATGAAACCCAGCACCACCAGTTGTTATTATTGTTGTTGTCATTAGTAATATTATCATTTGCATTCTAGAATAAAGGAAGGGAAAGATCAAGTTTTATAGCATTAAATTTTTACCTTGCATTTAGGCATGCCATCTCTGTTTACCCAAGGGATAGGTTATGTTACAAGTGCTGAAAACTCAAAACACCAAGAGGTAATTGCTCTTCCTCCCATCAAGTAATAAATATTGCAAAAAAAATTTCTTTTTAATTTAAAATATGTAAATAAAAATGCCAAAGAATCTGGCTGGATATTTATTCCCAATTTATGAGCTTCAGGGTGGTTAAGGAAAGACCAGTGCATCATCCTTTGATAATTAAAACATGCTAAATACAGCCCCTCTCCCACCCTCTCAGCAGAAGGCAGGCATTTCCCTCTCAGGCATGAAACTAAATGTTTATGCTCTAGCACTTGGTGTATCTGCTCTCTTGGTTCTGTATGTGTTCTCTGTATGTTGCCAAGGATTAATCAGCCTGAGAAACTGTTCATTTCATTGAGTATGACAAAAAAAGTTTTCCATGCCTCTTTTTCTTTTTAGGGGGAGGGGGTGAAATGTTTAATTGACTAATTCCTCATGGAGGAGAGTAAATGAAAAATACGTTACCTGAAGTGGCAAATAGATGGCAATGCAAAGTTATACCATATGTTTTATAATTAGCTCCAACTTTAATCTTCATTCTTTTCTTAATTACAATGTAGATAAGTCTTTCGGTTTTCCATTACAGTTACTATTATTGGCTATTGTTCAGCCGGTCTCTTGCATAAAGAGCGGAAATTAAAATGATAAAATTGGCTTCCAGCTAATATCTTAATGTTCATGTTAGTCATTTTTTTTTTTTTTTAATATGCTGTAGAAACCACAATCCTGTGTGGCCTCTTAGGTTTATTCTTTTAAAATATTCTTTCCCTGTCTCCAGTTGGCCAGATTCTTTGTAAATTTATGATATATTTGAACAGTTTTATTGGGTAGCTGATGACATGAAACTGAAAGAAGTTGGCAGGTAAAATGGTTTTTGCCAGAGTTTAAAAAATAAAGAGGGTAAAAATGATTAAATATAATGCAAGAAAATAGTTACCTGGACCAGAAAGCCTCCAAGTAGTAAACATTAACAACATATATGAGTGACATAAATTTTAAGAGATGATTATCAGCTTTCATGTTCTCCAGAGCACAGTGCTCATGCTGGGAGCAGGAGGTTTACTTATTGTGGACTTCCATCTCAAAGGAAAACTGCAGGTGAAGCAGCAGACTCCTCTGTGAAAGGGCAGCATAAATTACTGCACACAATAGAGACTTCAGCAGAGCCAGGAAAGTGCCTGTCACTCAGTCACGTTCTCTACGTTTTTCGTTGTGTCATATTGCTTTGTATATTGCTTCAGTTTTCTTTGCTTTCAGTGTTTCTTTTTTTAAAATACATGTTTTTATTTTTACTAAATTAGTATATGCCATGATTTTAAAAATTAAATAATACTGAGAGCTTATGGTGAATGAAATAGTCCCTGGCCCCACACCTCTTTGGCCAAGACTCTGCTATTATAGGGAACCTATTTGAACTGTTTATATTTCTAGTTCCTCTATGAGTATCTCTATAAATGCAAATAATATGCTTATACTACTGCTTCTTGATTCATAATGTCCAGGTTATCTCTGGGCTTTCTGCTACCATATAAACCAAAAACAGAACTGCTATGAGTAAATTCTATTTAAACAATTGGAGAAATTATATAGAACTTAGATAGTAAAGAGACATGTTACCCCATAGTTTTAAGTCACATTAGTACATTGTAAATTGTTAGTTCTAAAGAGAAATTGAAGAGAGTGGGTCACTGACTACCCCCTCCTATTTCCCCAATGTCATTTAGTTGTGTCTCTATATTTGGATTCCCTATACTTTCTAATCTTTGCAGTTTGAAATCATATGCTTATGTTTTTATTTCTATAATAGTTTTGTCAGTAATCAATCCTATCTTCTGGTTTTATTAATAGGTTCTTAGCTTCTTTGGACTTCCTTTTACCTCTGGACCTTCCTAACCTCTGTCATCTGTACTTTTGATTATTCTCTAGTCTCTGACCATAATTAACTCCCCATGAATACATATACTAAGAAGGTATGCCTAAAAAATGACAAATCTTAAACTTCAGCTCCCTGATTATGACCATGTAAATACTGTTCATTGAATGGCTAACTAGGGTGCTGTGCTTTCCATTTTTACAACAGATGTTTGTTTCTTTGATTTTCCTGGAGATTGTCTTTCTTCTTGATTAGATCTTTAGCATTTCCACAGTTCCCAAATTTGTATGGGTAGTGTTGAATCTCAGAATATGCCCCTTCCCAAAGTTTCTTCTTCTCCAGCTTTCCACCACCTGCTTCATCGGCTGTTCTAGACAGGCATGCTCCAAAACCGTCTTCCTGAGAGTTCTCCTTATTGCTCTCCTGGGTGAATCCACTGTTGCCTAGATTCCACCTCTGTCTCTTTTCTCCTCAGTTTTCTCCTTTGTTCTGCTAAGGCAAATCCTCAAGTAGCAACCTAAGAAAGGATGTATAGGAGTAATCTTTCTCAGACTTTAAGCACTTGCCTTTGGGCTGCTTTTAGCTGTAAGAAAAATCTCACTTCTGCTTTCTAAACAAGTCACAATTTGTCATTTTCACTAGGATCTCTGAGGCAAATGATTTAATTATTCAGCAGTACCATCAGGGAACCAGGCTGTTTTTCAGTCTTTCCACTCTGATGTTTTATCCTGATGCTTACAGCACGTTCTTCCATTTTGAGGCTAGATGAGGAGGGGAAAGGGCAGAGCCCTCACATCTGTCTCTTTGTTAGGAAAGCAAGTGAGACCTCTGCTGAATCTCATTGGCTAAAGCTGGGTCATATACAGTCCTCCTACCCCACCCCCCATATGGCATGGCTGTTGTCTTCATTCTGTCACACTCATCGTGGACAGTATGGGTGTGGAGTTTAGACTGTTTTCACTGAACAATCTCACCCTTACTTCTTATGGTAGGTGAGGGTGTACTTGAGAAGTCTGCCTGGTGACCTTGTTGTAGCCATCACAAGAGTCCAGAGGTCCATCTACCTCCATTCATGATAAAGCCAGAGGAGTATTTATATCCACCATATATACACAGTGTATACGTTGACAGAGAAAGAGAATCCAGGTTTTTTTTTTTTTTTTTTGGCAACAATTTTTATCTTGGATATAAAATCTTTGTAGCTCTAAGAGGAGACTAAATCTTAAAATGGATTCTCTTTGAAATGGTCTTTATTAAGTTTTTTCATTCATTAGTTCTGCTCCCAGTAGATACTTCCCGTGAGCAGTTATGATCCTTCTCTTCACTGAAGACCACAGTGAAACAGGGGTCAAGTCTTGGCCTTTCTCTCTCTTTCTGTGGAGGCAGAGAGGTGAGTTGATGTCCAGTGGTGAGAAAAAGAGTGCCCTTCTTTTACAGAGATTGATGGGGCTGCGCTGTGTCCCTGTAAGACTTGATCCTGAGCATGACCGTCCTCACTGGTGCGAGACGGGAGCCCAGACAGTTTCTTGGTGGCAGCCATAGCAGTGGTGGGACGATGTCTTCCCCCAAGGACAGTTGATACAGTTTGGTTGGGGGTTCTGTTATTGAGGCTCAGGCCATTACTCCTCTTACTGCCTGTTCACACTTGGCAAGGCTTCTCTCACAATACCTCCGAGCGAATCATGTTTTGTTTTTGTTTTGTTTGGCCACGCCTCGTGGCGTGCAGAATCTTAGTTTCCTAAGCAGGTGTTGAACCCTTGTGCCCTGCAGAGGAAGCGTGGAATCTTAACCACGGGGCCACCAGGGAAGTACCGAGAATCATGTTTTGATCCAATGTTTGGTTAACTTCTTTGTGTGACCTGCTTCTGCTGGCTCCAGCAGAAGCACCTTGTCCAGCGGACACTCATTTTCATAGAAACAGGTGTGATCCTGCAGCATCACTGAATTCACAGTGACTTAAATACTCATTTGAAACCCTCTGTTCATACTGATATATGACATTATCTTCATG